TCGGGGGGCGGCGGCGGCGCGGGGTGCCGTCGTGGGGGCGCGGCGCCGGAGGAGCCCCTCTGGACGGCGGTCTTCGACTACGAGGCGGCGGGCGAGGAGGAGCTGACGCTGCGGCGGGGCGACCGGGTGGAGGTGCTGTCGCGGGACGCGCGGGTCTCGGGCGACGAGGGCTGGTGGACGGGCCGGCTGGGGGGCCGCGTGGGCGTCTTCCCCAGCAACTACGTGGCCGGCCCGGCCCCGGCGGCGCCCCCGCCCGAGGTGCCCTTCGCCGAGCTGCGCCTGGACGAGCTGGTGGGCGCGGGGGGCTTCGGCAAGGTCTACCGGGGGCTCTGGCGCGGGCGGGAGGTGGCCGTCAAGGCGGCCCGCCACGACCCCGAGGAGGACGCCGCCGTCGCGGCCCGCAACGTCCGCCGGGAGGCCCGCCTCTTCGGCATGCTGCGCCACCCCAACATCATCGCCCTCCGCGCCGTCTGCCTCCGCCCGCCCCGCCTCTGCCTCGTCATGGAGTACGCCCGCGGGGGGGCCCTCAGCCGCGCCCTGGCCGGCAGGAGGGTGCCCCCCCACGTCCTGGTCAACTGGGCCGTCCAGGTCGCCCGCGGCATGCACTACCTCCACGACCAGGCCCCCGTGCCCATCATCCACCGGGACCTCAAGTCCACCAACGGTGAGTCCGCCCCCCCCCCAAGGAAGGAAGGCGGCCCAGAGGGCACCCTCCACACACTGCACCTGTGAGGGGGCCACGGGAGCTAAGCACTTAAGACCAGCCAATGCTGGATCAGGCCAGTGGCCCCTCCAGTCCAACACTCTGGGTCACACGGTGGCCAAAAACACCAGGGGCCATCAGGAGGTCCAGCAGTGGGGCCGGGACACCAGAAGCCCTTCCACTGTTCCCCCCCCCCAAGCACCAAGAATCCAGAGCATCACTTGCCCCAGACCGAGAATTCCTATCTATACCTGGTGGCTAACAGCCATTGATGGACCTCTGCTCCAGTTGTTTATCTGATTCCCTCTGGAAGCCGTCCATGCCTGTAGCCGCCGCCACCTCCTGTGGGTCCACCTCTTAGAATCATGGAATGTTAGAGTTGGAAGGGACCTTGCAGGTCATCTAGTCCAACCCCCTGCACTCTGCAGGAGCACCACCGAAAGAGAGCCCTACAACACACCCAAAAGAGGGTCGTCCACCCTCCACTTGAAAACGTCCAGCGAAGGAGCATCCACCACTTCCCGAGGCAGACTGTTCCACTGCTCAACAGTGTCCCCTCTAAGCTGAGTTAGTGTGAGCTAGCACACAGGTTTTTAGCCTCCAGCTCACACATTTTTGTCTTAGCTCATGAAGGAGGTGGCTCCAGAGCAAACTAATTCATGCAGCAGCCGAATTGCTCACTCACAACTTTAATGCCAGAAGCTCACAAAGTAGAATTTTTGCTCACAAGACTCCACCGCTTAAAGCAAGCACTGCTGCTCAACCACTCTTACAGTTAGGAAGTTTCTCCTGATCTTTAGCCGGTAACGACTCCCTTGTAATTTCTACCCATTAGACCTAGTCTTACAATCCGGAGCAAGAGAGAAGAGATCTGCTCCATTTTCTACACGACAGCCCTTCAGATACTTGAAGACTGCAGTCATGTCCCCTCTAAGCCTTCTCTTTCCCAGGCTAAACAGACCCAACTCTTTCAGCCTTTCCTCCTAAGACTTGGACTCCAACCCTCTCACCACCCTGGTTGCCTTCTTCTGGACACGCTCGAGCTTGTCAACGTCCTCCCTCAAATGTGGTGCCCACTTCTGGGCCACTGCTAATGCCACCCCACCACCTCTTTCTCCCCATCCTTTCCAGTCCTGATCCTGGAGCCCATCGAAAACGACGACCTGAGCGGGAAGACCCTCAAAATCACCGACTTTGGGCTGGCGCGCGAGTGGCACAAAACCACGAAGATGAGCGCGGCGGGCACCTATGCCTGGATGGCGCCAGAGGTCATCAAGCTCTCCCTCTTCTCCAAGAGCAGCGACGTCTGGAGGTAATGCAGAGGGCGGGGGCACTGGGGTCTATGTTGAGGCAACCCGGGAGGGAGAAACCTCTGGGGAACCGCTGCCAACCCTGGGGGGCGAGGGGGCTTTTAGTGTCTGGCTGGGGGCAAGCAGAGGGATGCCTCCTTCTAGTCCAGAAAACAGCAAAGGAACACCAAGAGAAGACCATCAAATGCACTTGAAATGTCTGAGTAATAAGATATATTAAGTGTTTAAACTGCACATAAACGTCTATAATAAGTTAGTGGTCCACAACAATTACAGATACAGTGTTCCCAAATGTAATCATATGTGAGAACCCTGGGATTGAATACAGCTAAAAGAACTGGCAGTCTATGTTCCAGTATTAAGGCCCTTATCCAGAAGAAGAGAAATTGAAACATCTGTATACCTAGGAAAGGCGTTTGGCTATAGAAGAATTTTTCACTGGTCGTCCTCTGCTTGATTTATGACTGCAGGAGGTCTTTGGACACTTTTATTGCATTTAAGCAAGGAGAATCGACAGGTTGGATTTATGTGCATACCTTGTTATCAGTGCCTGTGAGCACGAACTGTCATGTTCGTTTGTATCTCAGTGTAGATGTAGGATATGCCACGAGCACCTATGATTACATTTGGGAACATTGTACTTGTAATTGTTGTGGGTTGTGGACTACTGTTGGGTGTTACAAGTTAAAACATTTCTTCAGTATTTACTGGGTTAATGATGTTTGTTAAGTCACATGTTTGTTTGTATCCAAATCAGTTTAGAGAGTTAGAAAGCCCGGTAACTTCAGATCTAGTTTGTTGTTCTGATTGGAGACCAAAGTGCCAAGTATTAACATTTTATGGTTCTTTGTCCTGAGCAAGAAGAAGGAGTTAGTCTTTGCTCTTCTTCTGCCATGTTCAGTCTAGCTGTAAGGATGTAGGAATATTAGCTCTTTGTTATTTTACATCCCGTGTACTGTTTCCCCATGCTAGGTTGTAGTAAACTTTTATACTTTTAAAACACACCATGGACTCTGCCTCTTTAATACTCTGCTGATTTACTCTGCTGATTTACTTTAAAAATAAAGAATACCCCAACAGCTACCAACTAATTACAGACATTTATTTGCCATTTAAACACACCTACTTAATATATCTTAGACATTTCAAGTGCATTTGATGGTCTTCCCTTGGCATTTTCCTGCTTTTTTCTGCTATCATCACATGCTAGGGACCCTTGTATTGTCTGCTCCTTCTAGTCCAGAGGCAGGGCCCCTCTTGGAACGGCCCTGGGGCACAGAGGGGAGAGGGTTGGGGCTGAGGAGGGGGTGTGCCTGCAGCGTTCTGGGCCCCCCGTTCTCTGTACCTCCTTTCCTGTTTGCCCTTCCCAGCTTTGGGGTGCTGCTCTGGGAACTGCTGACCGGCGAGGTCCCGTACCGTGAGATCGATGCCCTCGCCGTGGCCTACGGCGTGGCCATGAGCAAGCTGACGCTGCCCATCCCCTCCACCTGCCCCGAGCCCTTTGCCCGCCTGCTGGAGGGTAAGTGGGAACTTGGGTGTGGGGGCACCCGGCCCTTGCCTGGAGGTGCTTTGCTTTTCGGGTGGGGTGGGCTTTGGGGGCGCAAAGCCCACCAGGGAGCCTTCTCTGGAGTCCAGGCGGCCAAACAGGAAAACGGTTTCCTGGGCTGCCCACAGCTTCTGGGTCTCTTCTGGAAGCCCCGCCTCTAATTCTGGGAAGGGGTTAGTTGTGGGCCAGGAGGCTGTGTGATCTGCACACGCACCCTTCCTTTTACTTTAGCTGATACGGGAGCATGGACCAATTGATGCTGCTTAACGCAAATGAATTGCTCCCTAAACTAGCCACAAAACTTTTGTGTGTGTGTGTGTGGGGGGGATGGATTAAATAATTAGTGTTTAGGAAGGGTGCCTTCTTGGTTGCATGTGTGCAGGGTGCGTGTGTGTCTGCCTGTGGTGGAGGTAGACCTGGGGGACACCTGTGAAAGGCCCCCAGGGACGAAGACCTCTCTTTTGAGACTCTGGGCAAGGACCCGCTCTGGGCCAGGAGGCAGGAGGTGCCTCCTTCTGGGTGTGTCCCTTCCTCCAGGCTAATTCTGGAAAGACCGGTGTCCGGGGAGGGAGGGAGGGAGTGTGTCCCTCCCTTGGGGTATCTCCTCTTCTGTCCTAGAACTCCTTGCCTTAGATCAGCACTGGGTGGAGGCCGGCAGCCATCCGTCCTGTTGCTCCGCACTGGGCTCCCCTCGGGCTATGAATCCTCCAGGGTGGCCCCCTGGCATCCAACCAGCCCCGGGTTTGGCCCAGAGGGTGGGGGTGAGAGGCTTGCGTTGTCCTCCCGACTTCCCCCCTTCCCTCCCTCCCCCCGGCAGAGTGCTGGAGGCCGGACCCCCACGCGCGCCCGGACTTCGGCTCCATCCTGCAGCAGCTGGTGGCCATCGAGGAGTCGGCGATGTTCCAGATGCCCCTGGAGTCCTTCCACTCCTTGCAGCAGGACTGGAAGGTGGAGATTGCGGGCATGTTCCAAGAGCTGCGCACCAAGGAGAAGGTGAGGGTGGAGGGAGCCCCGGCGGGACTCGAGGGCGGTGGTGGCCCCCTCGGGCTTCAAGCACTCCCGCCTCCTTTGCCCTGCTGGGGGCCGAGGGGGGGGAGCCGGGGGAGCCCCTCCTCCCTTCGTTTCTCTGAGGCCTCCTCCTCCCCCTCCCCCCCTCCCCAGGAGCTGCGGAGAGGAGAGGAGGAGTTGCTGCGGGCGGCCCACGAGCAGAAGACGCAGGAGGCGGAGCTCCGCCGGCGGGAGCAGGAGCTGGCGGAGCGGGAGATTGACATTGTGGAGCGGGAGCTGAACCTCATCATGGCCCAGATGGGGCAGGAGGAGAAGCCCCGGGTGAAGAAGCGCAGGGGGCACTTCCGCGGCTCCCGCCTCAAGCTGCGGGACGGGAACCGCATCAGCCTCCCCTCGGGTACGGCGGTCCCCTGCGGTCCCCCCTCCCCGGCCGGTACCCAGGGAGGTGCCCGGGATGCCCTGGTGCTTGGAACAGGCCGCAGCGGGCTCAGGGGAGGGGCCAGGCCCACCCTGCCCCCCAAGCCCCCCACCTCTCCTTCCGCTCTGCTCTGCAAAAGGGTGCGGACCCCCCTCCCCCCTGGTGGGGGTTCAAGGCTTGGAGGGGGGAGGAGGAGGAGGAGGCAGGCCTTGGCCCTGATGCACCCCCGCCCCCTCCCGTCCTCCAGGGTTTGAACACAAGATCACGGTGCAGGCCTCGCCCACGCTGGACCGGCGGAAAGGTCTGGGGGCCGATGGCGCCAGCCCCCCAGGGAGCCCCGTCATCATACCCCGCCTGCGCGCCATCCGCTGTGAGTACGAGTCGCAAGCTTGCCCCCCCCAGGACCAGTGTTCCCTCTAAGCTGAGTCAGTGTGATCTAGCGCAAAGTCTTTTAGCCTCCGGCCCACACATTTTTGTTGGGGTCATGGAAGCCAGGGCTAGTGGGCAGAGCACAAAGGGAGCCGTAATGCAGCTCTGACACACACACCTGACACCAGTGTTCCCTCTAAGCTGAGTCAGTGTGAGCTAGCTCAAAGTCTTTTAGCCTCTGGCCCAGACATTTTTCTTGGGGTCATGGAAGCCAGGGCTAGTGGGCAGAGCACAAAGGGAGCCGTAATGCAGCTCTGACACACACACCCGCCACCAGTGTTCCCTCTAAGCTGAGTCAGTGTGAGCTAGCTCAAAGTCTTTTAGCCTCTGGCCCAGACATTTTTCTTAGGGTCATGGAAGCCAGGGCTAGTGGGCAGAGCACAAAGGGAGCCGTAATGCAGCTCTGACACACACACCCGCCACCAGTGTTCCCTCTAAGCTGAGTCAGTGTGAGCTAGCTCAAAGTCTTTTAGCCTCTGGCCCAGACATTTTTCTTAGGGTCATGGAAGCCAGGGCTAGTGGGCAGAGCACAAAGGGAGCCGTAATGCAGCTCTGACACACACACCTGACACCAGTGTTCCCTCTAAGCTGAGTCAGTGTGAGCTAGCTCAAAGTCTTTTAGCCTCCGGCCCACACATATTTCTTGGGGTCATGGAAGCCAGGGCTAGTGGGCAGAGCACAAAGGGAGCCGTAATGCAGCTCTGACACACACACCTGACACCAGTGTTCCCTCTAAGCTGAGTCAGTGTGAGCTAGCTCAAAGTCTTTTAGCCTCCGGCCCACACATATTTCTTGGGGTCATGGAAGCCAGGGCTAGTGGGCAGAGCACAAAGGGAGCCGTAATGCAGCTCTGACACACACACCTGACACCAGTGTTCCCTCTAAGCTGAGTCAGTGTGAGCTAGCTCAAAGTCTTTTAGCCTCTGGCCCAGACATTTTTCTTAGGGTCATGGAAGCCAGGGCTAGTGGGCAGAGCACAAAGGGAGCCGTAATGCAGCTCTGACACACACACCCGCCACCAGTGTTCCCTCTAAGCTGAGTCAGTGTGAGCTAGCTCAAAGTCTTTTAGCCTCCGGCTCACACATTTTTTGTCTCAGCTCAGGAAGGATGGCTCCAGAGCAACCTAATTTCTACGCAGCAGCCAAATTGCTGGCTCACAACTTTCATGCCAGTCGCTCACAAAGTAGAATTTTTGCTCACAGGACCCCACAGCTTGGGGGAAGCACTGCCCGCCACGACCCTTCCGCCCCAGGAGACACGAGCCCTTCGGAGCTCTGGAGATCTCCCATGCTGTGCTCCGAATGGCTGGCCGGGATAGCAGGATCGGTAACCGATTCAGTTCTACTCTGAGCAAGAGCCGCACTCTGGCGGGCAGCCACACTCTTGATGGGCAGGCTGACGCTCTCTGGGGCTCTGTCGGGCGTTCTTGCCTCATCCCGCACCCCTGCGGGCAAACGAGGCGGCATTCCAACTGGAAACGGCAACTTTCTCTCGTCCTTATGGACAAAGGGGAAATCCTGTCCTGTCCTTTCACTGGTGGGGGGGGGAAGGGGGGGTTGGAGCCAACTCACAGCCCAAGACTGCCCAAGACTGACCCAGATGGGCGTCTTTCGAACACCCACTCCTGCCCCAGCGACGGCGGCAGTCCCAAACTCAGCCATCGGAGGGCTCTCAGAGTGTGACGCGGACTGGGCACCGTCTGCCCTCGGAAGACCGTTCCTTGGGGCCGCCACCGGGCAGGCCGTCTCCCCTGCCCGAAAGAAAGGGGTGGGGGAGAGGAGGCCCCCTCTGGAGCACTCTCTCCCCCACACCCCCTCTTCCCCCCCTTCCCCCCTTCCTCACTGCAGTGACTCCCCTGGACGGAAGCCAGACGTGGGGGCGCAGCACCCTGGCCAAGCAGGAGGAGCTGGTGGGGGCCAAGAAGAAAGGGCGGACGTGGGGGCCCAGCTCCACCCTCCACAAGGAGAGGCTCGGCGGGGAGGAGAGGTACGGGGGGGCCAGGAGAGGTGCGGAGGAGGGCCGGCGCGGGGGGGGACCCAGTGGAATGGGCTGCACCCACGGAGATGCGGCTGTCGATCAGCCTGTAGGTGGAGAGGGAGGGGGACTCCGATGCGAGAGAAAACGCTCACTGGGGTCAAAGGGCCAGGGCTCAGCGGCAGAGCCTCTGCTCGGCGTGCAGAACGTCCCAGGTTCAAGCCCTGGCAGCATCACCAGACAAAGGGACCAGGCAGGAGGTGGGGCAAAAGACCTCCCCCGCCTGAGACCCTGGAGAGCCGCTGCCAGTCCGAGTAGACGAGACGGACCCGGGTGGGCCGAGGAGGGTCTGGCTCAGTACGAGGCAGATCCCTGTGCTCAGGGGCTCCTTGTCCACCCACCCAGGCTGAAGTCCCTGGCGGAAGGGAGCAAGCAGTGGTCCTCCAGCGCGCCCAACCTGGGCAAGTCTGCCAAGCACGCCCCCCTGGCAGTGGGCTTTGCCAGCTTAACGGAGATGGGTAAGTCGGGGCAGCAGCCCTCGGGCCCGGAGTTCTTGGCAGTGATTCTGGTGGGAGATACGTTCAGCTGGGCGGGGAGGGGAGGCATAGCCCAGTGGCATCGCTCCTGATTCAAGGGTGTGAGAGGGAAAGTTCAAAAACTGTTACAAGCAGGGGTCATTCCCTGCGGGAGCGCACAGGAGCGGAGCTCCGGCAGGAAGGAGCCCAGGGGGCAGGCACATGCAACAAGCCCCGCCCCCTGCTCCCAGCAGCCCTCAGTCGGGCCACGAGGAGCAAGAAGCAGCCAGGTAAGTTGCAGAGTCCCCACACACACACACACCTTCAGGTACAAGCTCTCCCTCCTCTGTGAGGGCAGATCTGCACGTCCCCCCCCCCCCAACAGCCTCCCCCCCCCCAATAGGTAGCAATCCAAAACAGTCCAGTGGAGCCTGAGCGGGGATGTCAGGGGGGGGGGCATATGCCAATAAGTTATGCTAATAAGTTATGCTAATGAGCTCCTGTACCTCTTTTTCTACGAAATGACCCCTGGTTACAAGACCCAAATTTTGACGGCATGGGATCTTGGTTTTTATTTTGGTCAACAGCCATTTTAGCGTTTGGTGGGCTTTCTTGAGCCATTTCTTTGAAGCGTTGCTGGGGAGGGGGGCAACTTAAGATAAAACCGATGCAGGCCAGAAAACATCGTTACGCCTCTCTGGGGAGCCACAGTTCCAAAGATAGTGGCATCTCTCTGAAAACGGGGGGGTTGGGCTTGCCGTGGCCCCCACTTAAGGGTTTCCAGCTGCTGCTTGCAGACTCCAAGACTCCACTCCTCCCCATGCAGCTGCTGGTGTGACCTTGGGTCAGTCACAAGTTCTGTCAGAGCTGTTCTCTCCAGGGTAGTTCTTGAGCGAGCGCTCTCTCAGCCCCGCCTCCCTCAAAGGTGTCTGTCTGTTGTGGGGAGGGGAAGGGAAAGGAGATAGTAAGCCGCTCTGAGACTCCCTTGGGTAGTGAAGGGCCATGGGGTGTAAATCCAATCTCTTCTTCTTCTTCTTCTTCTAGAGGAGTATGTGGAGAACAGTTCCCCTCATTCCCCGCACCTGCCCCTCTCTCCAGGGGGGGTGGAGGCCAGTGCCCACCTGCAGCTCCTGCCGTCCTGCCCGGAGGGAACCAAGCGGGGCCTGGGGGTGCGGCACCGTCACAGCGAGCTGGTTTTGCTCAGCTGCGCCTCCATCCTGGCCTCCATCGCGCTGGGTGCGGATCTGGCCGAGCTGGCGGGGGAAGGCCTCGGCGTCCCCCCGGGCCCCCCCAACTCCCTCACCCTCCAGTCCCTCTCCTCCCTCTCGGACTGCAACTCCACGAAGTCGCTCCTGCCCTCGGACAGCGATGAGGCCCCCACCTACGAAGCCCCCTGCCTCCCGGAGCCCCGCAGCCCCTCGCCTGACTCCCACCACAACCCCCTGGTGGACGTCACCATGGAGAGCTTCAAGAAGGACCCGCGCCAGTCGCTCACGCCCACCCACATCAGCGCTCCCCAGCCGGTCAGCCGAGGACACCGGCGGACGCCCTCCGAGGGGGCGATCCGTCAGGCGGGTCAGGGCCTTCCGCGGGCTGCCGACAACCAGGGTGAGCATGTGCGCGGCGGCCTGGACCCCGGTAGCCTCCCTCCCTCCTTCACTCCCTCCCTCTGGAGAGAACCCAGAGCACAGGCGGCCTTGGAAAGGGGTTCGGCAGATTCATGGAGGATACGTCTGTCAATGGCTAGTAGATGTGGTGGCTGAGGGGAACCTGCACAGTCAGAGGAACTAAGCCTCTGGATCCCAGGGCCAGGAGGCGACATCAGGGGAAGGCCTCGGCCTCCCTGCCCTGTGGTTGGTCCTCCGGAGGAAGTGGCTGGCCCCTGTGAGAGATGGGAGGCTGGACTAGAGGGACCCTCCCTGGTCTGGCCCAGCAGGGCTCTTCTTGTGTTCTTATCAGGTGAAGGCCTTGGCCTCTCTGCCCCATTGTTGGCCCTTTAGAGGAACTGGCTGGCCCCTGTGTGAGACGGGAGGCTGGACTAGGTGGACCCTCACTGGTCTGATACAGTAGGGGTCTTCTGAGGTTCCTATCAGGGGAAGGCCTCGGCCTCTCTGCCCTGTTGTTGGCCCTCCAGAGGGACTGGCTGGCCCCTGTGTGAGACGGGAGGCTGGACTGGATGGACCCTCCCTGGTCTGACCCAGCAGGGCTCTCCTGAGGTTCTTATCAGGGGAAGGCCTCGGCCTCTCTGCCCTGTTGCTGGCCCTCCAGAGGGACTGGCTGGCCCCTGTGTGAGACGGGAGGCTGGACTGAAGGGACCCTCCCTGGTCTGATCCAGCAGGGCTCTTCTGGTGTCCTTCTCAGGGGAAGGCCTCGGCCTCTCTGCCCTGTTGCTGGCCCTCCAGAGGGACTGGCTGGTTGACTGTCAGAGGGGTTGAGCAGTGGAACAGACTGCCTCGGGAGGTGGTGGAGGCTCCTTCGCTGGATGTTTTCAAGTGGAGGCTGGCTGACCATCTTTTGGGTATGTTGTAGGGCTCTCTTTCGGCTCTGCTCCTGCAGAGTGCAGGGGGTTGGACTAGATGACCTGCAAGGTTCCTTCCAACTCTTAACATTCTGTGATTCTATGATTCTATGACTCTACATGATGATGCTGGAAGGGATGGATCAGACCAGTGGTTCTTCTGATATTCTTATCAGGGGGAGGCCTCAGCCTCTCTGCCCTGTTGCTGGCCCTCCAGAGGGACTGGCTGGCCCCTGTGTGAGACGGGAGGGTGGACTGGATGGACCCTCAGTGGTCTGACCCAGCAGGGCTCTCCTGGTGTCCTTCTCAGGGGAAGGCCTCGGCCTCTCTGCCCTGTTGCTGGCCCTCCAGAGGGACTGGCTGGCCCCTGTGTGAGACGGGAGGCTGGACTAGAGGGACCCTCCCTGGTCTGACCCAGCAGGGCTCTTCTGGTGTCCTTCTCAGGGGAAGGCCTCGGCCTCTCTGCCCTGTTGCTGGCCCTCCAGAGGGACTGGCTGGCCCCTGTGTGAGACGGGAGGCTGGACTAGAGGGACCCTCCCTGGTCTGACCCAGCAGGGCTCTTTTCTGGTGTCCTTCTCAGGGGAAGGCCTCGGCCTCTCTGCCCTGTTGCTGGCCCTCCAGAGGAACTGGCTGGCCCCTGTGTGAGACGGGAGGCTGGGCTAGGTGGACCCTCCCTGGTCTGATCCAGCAGGGCTCTTCCAGTGTCCTTAACGCCCTGGGGCCTGCTTTCTTCACCCCTACCAGGCCTTGGTCTACAAGCCCCACATGAGGATCGGGCACCTTCACAGGTGGATGACTGAGCTCAGCAGAGATTGCTGTGAGACCCGGAACCTCCAGTTTGCGCACTTGAATCCCTTCCCCGATGAGGATGGCAGATGCTGGGTTCACGGAGAGGGAGGGGCCAGCTTGCCCCCCCCTTTTCCAGTGGGGTCCGGCTGGCGCGTTCAGGCCCACCACCAGCGCCCCCGCGAGGCCTCAGAGGAGCCTGCCGCGGAGCGCCCTCGGACCCTGGCCTTTGCCCCGCGGCCCCGCCCCACTCCGTGCCGGCCCCGCCTCGACCCCTGGAAGCTTGTCTCCTTCAGCCGGACCCCGGGGGAGGCGGCCAGCAAGGGGGGCTCTGGGTGTCGCCCGACGCTCCTCGACATGGACACGGACGGGCAGAACCGGGACAGAACCGAGCCCTTGTGTGGGAGACGAACCTCCTGTTGTGGCCTGGAGCCAGACATCTCCCATTGACTACTCCGTCCGGCGGGAGAGACGTGCCAGGGTGTGTTGCACTTATTGACCCCACCCCACCCCGGCATTCCCACGGCCCTCAAGACTCAGTTGTGGACTTCGTTTCCAAGCAGTGTGACTGCTGGGCCAGCAGGGGGCGGTAGCCTTGCCTGGTCTCCCCGTGTGAGTGCCTAACGGGGTGGGGTGGGGTGTGTGTTTCCTGTCTGGCCGTCCCGTGATCCGAGCGTCTGTGGTTCTGGTTGTTTTCTAAACTCTCTCTCTGTCTGAGGACTGGCTTGTCTGTCTGTCTTTCTTTCTTTTCCCTGCACCACCCATTCCCCAGGATCCTGCTTCTACAGTGAGGGGGGTGTACGATGGGGCGCGTTGCTTGGGTGTCTTCCCGTATCCCTTTGGAAGGGTGGGCTGGGTGACTGTAGGGCCCAAGACCGCCTTCCCCTTTCCCCGTGGCACTGACATAGCAGGCTTGGCTCCCTAGAGGTATTAGCCGGACACACACACACCCCCTCCCCGTTTCAACTCTCTGTAATACCGCTGGGTTCCATTGTGCTTTTGTCCTGAGGTGAGGAGTGCGGTGGGTGCAAGGCTCCCTCTAAGCTGTGGAGTCTTGTGAGCAAAAATTCCATGCGAGCGATTTGGCCGCTGCATAGATTAGTCTGCTCTGGAGCCATCCTGCCTGAGCCGAGACAAAAATGTGTGAGCCGGAGGCTAAAAAGCTGTGAGCTGGCTCACACTGACTCAGCTTAGAGGGAACACTGGTGTGTGTGGGGGGGGGGTCAGAGCTGCATTTATGGCTTCCTTTGTGATTCGCCCGCCAGCCCTGGCTTCCATGACCCCAACATAGAGTTGCGGAACAGGCAAAGCACTGTTTATGGAGGCGGTGTTTCTGAACAAGCGCCTCCCCTTCCGGACGCAGGTTTCACGACCAGATTCTTCTCCTTTTCCTGTTCATCTGGGAATTGAGGGAGGGAGGGAAAAGATTGGCCTCTGGCCTATGAAGTCTGCATCGGGCTGGCTTGGCAAAACAGTCACCTCATCTGTGTTTCCAGTTAAGAGCCTGGTGGTCTTTATTCTCCCCCCACCCACCCACGGACACACACACACACAAAAAGGGTGATGCGCAGCCCCCTTGGGGTCTCCCAGCGAAGCAAAGAGTCTCCCGGTAGCTGTCCAGAGTCACTCCGGGGGCCTCCGTCTCTGCCGTGAAGCACCCGCCCTCCTCCTCTCCGTGTGGTTGGAGGAACACAGCCCTGGTCCCCATGGAAACAGCAGCAGCAGCAGCAGCAGCAGCGGCTCTCTGGATGGGGCTGGAGGCGAACTCCCTTGGCCAAATGCCTCCGAGGGGCCATGCTTTCCATCTTGGACTCTCCTCCTGCGTTCTCTCTCTGTGGCGCAGCGGGCACAAGTTGAATCATCCGTGCCCCACATTAGCAGAACCCCGGGCCGGAACCTGGTTCTGGGTCTCCTGCAAGGCAGTCCTTCCCCCCCCCATACAGCCAGGAAGCCCCCCCCCGCAACCCTGACCTGGTATTCCCTGCTGGTCCCCCTCCCACCCGGGCCTGGGGGGTTGCCAAAGGGATACTGCCACTGGGCAGCCAGCCTGGTTTTGCTCTGGGGGTGGTGCTCTTCTCATTGCTGGGCCCAGGAGGGTCAGCCGGGGAGCAGGAAGGCCCCCCCCCAGAGCCCATCTCCCCTCCCCCCAAGCCCCTGGGTGGCCTCCAGCCAGCTGTTCCCCTTTGTGGGGCGGCAACAAGAGTTCCGGCTGCCTGGCAAAAATGCAGAGGACGCGGCTCCCCAGGGGCGGAGGGGGCTGTGGGGACTGGGGAGTCCCAAGGCTCCCTCTAAGCTGCGGAGTCTTGTGAGCAAAAACCCTACCTTGTGAGCTACTACTGGCATGAAAGTTGTGAGCGAGCGATTGGGCTGCTGCATGAAATAGTTTGCTCTGGAGCCCCCTCCTTCCTGAGCTCAGACCAGAATGTGCGAGCCGGAGGCTAAAAAACTGCGAGCTGGCGCACACTGACTCAGCGGAGAGAGAACGCTGGTGGGGGACCCTTGTGGGCCAGCCCCTGCCCGCTTAGCCGAACCACCCTCACCGGCTTGTTGTGAAAATGAAACGGGGGCGGG